AAGTTCTAAGCAGTAAAATGTCATGGGTCTCATAATAGGTGTAGTCTTTGGTTGCTGACCATGACATGTTTGGGAAAAAAAGAGATATTTTATATCACTTGAAAAGCCTCCCTACTGCACCGAACCTCAGTAAGAAGTCAAAGTAGTTTCTGTAAAGGTCCAAAGAGCAAAAGAGGGCCGTGACATGTTTGATTAGTGAATGAGAATCCAAGTTGTCCCAAATAAAATTCCCAACATGTGAACTCCAAAGAATGTCTTTTAATTATTCATTGGACTAAAGTTTTATATGTTTGAAATTAATACAAATACACTACAGCTTAAAAGTTTGGGGTCATTAAGATTTTTTTTTTAATTAATATTTTCATTCAGTAAGGATGCATTAATTGAATTAAAGACATCTGTATTATATTTTATAATATAATATTATACTATATCTATTTATACATCTATACATTTAATTTTTTTTTAAAATGCTGATCTTTTCCTTATCAATAATCCTGAAAAAAAATAAAGTAAAACACAACTGATTTAAACATTGAGAATAATAAGAATGTTTCTTGAGCAGTAAATATTAGAGTTCCATTAATATTAGAATTATTTCTGAAGGATCATGTAACACTGAAGACTGTAGTAATGGCTGCTGAAACTTCAGTGTTTGCTATCACAGGAATAAATTGCATTTTGAAATGTATTCAAACAGAAAACCGCTATTTAAAATTTTAATAATATATATAATATTTAATATTAACAATATTATAATTGACCAAGAATGGTAGTGTATCTTCAGAAAATAAAAACAAATAATAAATAAAAATATATAGATAAATTAATTAATAAAAAAAAACAAAAAAACAATTCATTTAGAAAACATGTAAAGAAAAAAAAAAGAGAGAGAGAGACACTTTCAGTGTACTGGCACAACACTTCTATTATTTAGCCAAGTAAGCATGATTATCTCAGTCTCTCAACAACTTTTTTTCTTTTTTCAATCATCTTTTTGTGTCCCATCAAGGCTCATGCATTATTTACACACATTTTACTCCTGAGTGTAAAGAGCCAAAGTGCCTTTCTGATAGGGCTGCACGATTAATCGAATGTGATTGTCATGCACGTCTTGTCAGTAAAGCCGTTTTTGTGATTAGTAGTAAATCTCCAGCACGTGCTTTCAGATGGAGCAGCATTTACTACACAGAGCCGTAGTTCACTGACAAGCTACGCAAAACCGCGTTCATAATCACAGATGATTTAATTGCGCGATTATGAAATCGAAGAAATCGTTCTGCGATTTATGAAAGCTGTTTGCGTAGCTTGTCAGTGAACTACGGCTCTGTGTAGTAAAT